AGTAGAAGCATGGCGGGCTGGGCTTTCCCTGATGACATTAAACTAATGATGCAGCGTTCATGGGGACAGAATCCCCCTACGTTCTTGTAAAAAAGGATATACAGTTTATGTTGCTGATGCACAGTTCTGAGTCAAAAGATGCAGACAGAATTTCAAATAACTTGAATCTGAGAAATTAAGATAGATTTTGGCTGAATTGCTACCTTTAGGAACACATGTAACTCTCACATTGTTTATGTGCTAATTATTATTATTTTTTTGTACCAGGGTTTGAACTCAGGACCTTGTGTTTGTCAGACAGGTGTTTATATCCCTGAGCTATCCCCCTGGCCCTCCGCTAATAATTTATAATGGCTGATACAAGGAATCAAAGTGAGAAATTTAGAAGCTTAAACTAAGGACGGGCCAGAGTACTCACTTTGTAAACATCCTGAGCGTAAGCAAGAGGAGCACAAAGAGACCGAGTGAGTGCTACACCTGCCCCAGGACCAGGAGCCAGCACACAACATAAGGGAGAATAGGCTTGTTCTGTCCTTTTTTACTCCTGTTGCTTTTACTGTCTTCCGCCACCAAGAACTGTTGCCTCTTAGCCATGCCACCTGCATTGGAGCCAGTTAATTATGGACTGAAACCTCCACAAACTGTGAGCTAAATAAACCTTTCCTTAACTCTGGGTGTTGGGTATTTTGTCTCAGTGATGAGAAAAATGTAACTAAGACATAATTAGAACAGATGGAGTGAGAAATGGTTTTTGAAGTAACAGCCAAAAGACCAATTCTGAACTATGATGAAAGCATTTCTGAAAATTATAATTTTTTTTTTTTTTGCAGCACTCAAGAGTGAAGCTTGTGTCTTCACACTGAGCTATATCTCCAGCCATTCTTTTCTTTTTTTTAGGCAATTTTTTTTTTTTATTTAAGACCTTTATTAACAGGTGCTTGCAGTTTGTTGACTTTTTTGAAAAAATCAAGTTGTAAACTTTTATTACAAATTAAAAATGAAGTTCTTAAAAATCTCAACTTGACCAGATATGAAACAATTTAAAAACCTTTAAAGGTGTATTGAGGGGACGGGGATTTGGCTCAGCGGTAGAATGCTTGCCTGGCAAGCTAGAAGCCCTGGGTTCGTTCCGTCCTTGGCACCAAAAACAAAAAATTCAACCTCCACTAAACAACAATTCAACCAAAAAAATACAATAAGATCAAAAAAGACCAAAAACAAACAAAGCAACTAAAGGTGTATTGAGAAAAAACAGGCTTTTTTAAAAAACACATTTGTGGTTACCAAAGAGAGACCTCTTTAGGTAAAAATAATAAAAACCCCACGCTGCATAGACAATGCAGATAGTTCTAGTTATCTGGCCAATGGGCAAAAAGCAAGCGCTTCAGGTCTTCAGTTCCAATCGTTTGTTCATTTCTTATTGTTGGAATTTCCTATTCGTTTCTTTCTAGCTGGATGACTAAACCGGATGATGGTAGAGATGTTAAGCCGGCGTTTACTCAGTCCGCCCTGCTCAGCCTCAGGGGCAGAGCAATTCTGCGCTGGCGGATCGGCTGCCTTTGTCTCTTTGCCATATTGTGGTTTAGGGTTTTTTGGGCGTCTGCGCTGGTAATTGAAGTTGCGACAGTACCACGCTGAGGCGGCTGCTGACCTTGGGTCTCATCTCCTTGATTTTCCTTACCTTCTTCATTGCCATCCTCTCTAAGCTGTCTTTGGCGAGAGGGGCCCTGCGGAATCGTGGTCTATAACCTCGATACACATTGTCTCCCTTGTCTGCCTGGTTCTCCTGCACCCTGGCTGTAAGCACCCCCCATCACTTCGTGCACAGGAGGGTTGGGGTACTGTGGCCGACGCCCACGGGGTCTCCGCATGTAGTGAGGTGGGAACCTTCGCCTGCGGTAGAGCTCTTTTCCCCACTCTCACTGTTCTGGTAATTCTGCTGCTGATTGCGTGGAGGACCCCTGCGACATGGATAGCGTCTATAAGGGTTACGGTCTGCTGCGTATTCACTGCCTAGAACTGGAGCTCCACCCGGGCCTGTAACATTCGCTGCCTCGCACCCTTTTCTCCTTCAACAATCTAGCTCCACAGTCTCTCCATCGCCTACACTGCACAGGTCCTTCCTGGGGTTATTCTCCTTTACGGCAGTCTGGTGTACAAATACATCTTCCTTGGTGTCATTCCTGTTGATGGAGCCATATCCGTTTCTTACATTAAACCATTTTACTGTTCCCAAAACCTTCCTTGCGATGGCCTGGCCTTCTTGTCCCCGCCGGCGGGGCCGCCGCTCCCTGCGCTGCTTCCCGCGGTGCCGGGCTCAGTGTCCGCAGCGCTGCGGGCGGGGGCGGCGGGACGGCGGCGGGCGGCTGCTGGGTCTCGCCTCGCTGCTCATGTTGCGGTGATGGTGACCGATGGTGACCGGGGCTGGCCGGGCGGCTGCCGCTCCTCCGGGGGTGTGATGGTAACGAGGCCGGCAGCGGCGGGGCTGCTCAGGGCTCTCCGCTCCCGCTCCCGACTGAACTCAAAAAGTCTTGTCAGACCCAATGCTATTATGGGCTACTGGACTCTTTTAGAATATTTTGCTGAGTTTACACACCTATAATATTCAATAACAGAACTTAGAAAAAATGGGGTATACCGATGAATGTCCATTTTGTATCTGTGTATTCAAAGAGGTTGGGATAGATATATAGTTGCATTCTCTTAATGAATAGAATGATTTGTTCTAATGGTGTTTGTAAATAGGATCACAAGTCCGCATCTTGTACAGCAATTAACCACTAAGAAGAATATATGCAGTGTATTATTTGCTGAAACTGTACTTCCGATTTTTTTTTCTTTTTTAATTTCTTTTATTTTATTGAAAAACAAATATCAGTGAGACAGTTTCAAAGCTGATTAATAGGACATTTTCAATAATTAATACATTTTACATTGTTATCTTCTTAGTGGTTATCCACAGTACAAGAAGTAGACAAGATATCCTGTGCAAACACTATTACTACAAATCTTTCTTATTGAATTAAGCGAAAGTAGCTGTATATCTATCCTTACTATTCTGTGTATACAAATACAAAATGGTCCTTCCCTTTTCATCTCCTTTTTTTGTTTAGTCCTGTCAGAGATGGAAATTCTATTGGCATCTAAATACCATAGGTGCTTGAATTCAGCAAAACAATCCAACACATTCCAGCAGTCCATGATAGTAGTGGGTTATCCGCAGAAGTTGTTGACGAGAGCCTTTTACAGCTCAGTATATTTTTTTTCTTTTCAAAGTTTTATTGATAAACATATAGCAATGAGACAGTTTCAAATCAAATCGAAAGTACAGTTTCAACAAATAATACACTGCATACATTCTTCTCAGTGGTTAATTGCTATACAAGATGCAGACTTGTGATCCTACTTACAAACACCATTAGAAAAAATCATTCTATTCATTAAGAGAATGCAACTATGTATCTATCCCAACCACTTTGAATACACAGATACAAAATGGACATTCATAGTTATACCCCAATTTTTTTTTAAGTTTCGTTGTTGAATATTATAGGTGTGTAAACTCAGCAAAATATTCTAAAAGAGTACAGAAGCCCATAATAGCATTGGGTTTTCTGTTTAACTGGCAATGTCAGAAATTATTGACCTGAGTCCCCCACAGCTCAACATAACAACATAGCTTTACTTCCTATATTTCATCTTCATACTTTTTTACTGGGTGGTTAAGACCAAGGTAAAGCAGGACCTGTGCAACAAGAGTTGTAGCTTTTTGGTCTGACAAGGTCAGTGAAATGCCCTCAGGATTTATCTTGAGATCCTGTACCTCAGATTGTAGAACCTTTGTCAGTGTCAGCCATGTGGATGAGTCACGGCCAATGCTTGGCCTATGTGCTCTCTGTGAAAGCCTGAGAGAGTGTCTTCTCCCCATGTGACTCTCCTTAGGCACACTCTACGTCATCGATCACTTTCCTCTTTGGCCCCATTATCTTCTTGATCAGAAAATTTGGGACACTACCGAGGTACATGACGTTACAGTACAAGTTCTCATATGTCCTGAGTCTTAATTGACCTTAGAAGGTTAGAGCCAAAATGTTGGCTTTCCTTGTAGCCCTCCTTTTTCTCTAATTTTGGTCTGCAAACTTAGGTTGTTAACCATCCAGAAGACAAGCTTATTGTTATTATCAAACGATTTACACTATCAAGCTTAACCTCACTATCTCACTGCATTTCAAACATCTTAGGCATAATAAGGAACAGGTATTTTTCATCAAGTATTGATATGTTGAACCTTAAGTCCCTACATAATATGATAAAGAACATTTAAAAATTAGATTATATTTTAACAATAGGATAAAGAATTCTATGCTTCTCATGTTTGCACATAAGTCCAAAAATCTCACCATATACAACCTTGAAGCAGGACTGTCCCACAGTATTCCTTTTCCTGTCTCTTGCTTTCATTCACCACCCCCTTCTTGTACTTCCGATTTGATTTGAAACTGTCTCACTGCTATCTGTTTATCAATAAAACTTTGAAGAAAAAAAAAAAAAGTTTTGTCAGAATTGCCCAATTAAGGTTTGAACTTGTGATCCTCTTGCCTCAGCTTTCCAGAGTGCTGAGATTAAAGGTGTGAGCCTTGCTTGAAAATTATTTCTCTGCTATATCTTTAATTAACTCAATAGGCCCAGCCCGAACAGTTTTAGTAAAATTCTACACTTATTCTGTACTAACTATATCAAAACTATCAGCTAAATTTTGAAACCCTAAAACTACTCTACATGGACCTCTATAATATCAAATCCTTAATCTGAAATAAAATACAATCTAAAATAATAAAGGGTAGGTGAAAATCACGATAGAATTTATGTTAAAGAGTAAATTTCACATTTTAATGGGATTCTAGAGCTTTCGGAAATGAATTGTAAATGAACTTTACTTACCTAATATTATAAAATGACTAAACACCAGTTAAGAAAATTATATGCATTTAACAACTTACCTCTCAAGATGAACATAATGTCGGGACAAAACGTTTTTAACCAAAAACACAGTCTTTGCAGTAGTCTCTGGACCCATCAATTTGGAAAAATACAACTTTGCACGAAGAAAATATCCAACAGGCCATAGCCACTCCTTAAAAAGATCATTTGAAAGTAAAGAAAAAAAAAGCTGTGAATATAAAATTATAGTACTTTAACAAATTTAAACAGAAAAATCAGAGAAGAGAAATAAAATTCTTACAGGTCCTTGATGATAATTGAAACCTCTAGCAAGATTGTAGTTGTCGTTGTCTAAGGCATTGTCATAAATTCCACAGTAAACCATATCACTGCAAAATGATTAGAAGAATTTCAGTTGAACAGAAGATCAGATTCCATAGAGGAAACATTTCAATAGCAAAGGTAAAAGAAATAATCAAATCATTTTGTCCTCCAACCTATAAAAAATTCAACATTAGTACATTCTTTAACCTTCAATTAGCATAAAGTAAGTTTAGAGGGTTTTAATACTGGGTTTAGGAATGATTAACAAGTACGTACTGGGACTGGTCAGATAGCTCAGAGGACTAAAGCACCTGCTTAGGCAGAGCACAGTGATTCCAGGCTCGCTGCTGGCCCCGCCCCCAGCGCACAGTGAGATGGTGAATGAGACTGAGCTTGGTGGCACAAGCCTATAATCCCAGCACTTGGGAGGCTGAAAATAGGAGAATCACTACAAGTCCGATCTGTGTAGTGAAACCCTGTACTAAATAAAAAATAAAGAACAAAAACCAAACAAAATATAAACAAGTACCTATTGGTTATTATAAAAGAGTAAAAATATCCTGATACCTTGCCTTTGAGGAGTTAGTGTGACACTATTGGTTGGTTTAAAGCCAACTACTTCTCTAATCTCTGTATAAAGTATCTTTTTTTGGATACAGGATCTTGCTATGTAGTTTAGGCTTGCCTTGAACTCACTATGTAGCCCAAGCTGACTTTGAACTTGCAGTGATTTCTCTGCCTCTGAGATTATAGGCATGTAACACCATGACTGGTCTAATCATATATTATATTTATAATCAGAAAAAATCATGAGAAATATTCAGGACATACTAATTTTATTATTTATTTTACTTTTTGAGGCAGGGACTCACTGTGTAATGCAGGCTGGCCTCAAACTCACATTGATCCTCCTGTCTCAGCTTCCTGAGTTCTGGGATTACAGGTGTGCACCCCCAAGACCAGCAGGACATACTAGTTTTATCAATTTAAAAAACTAGTTACTGAATATAGGCAAACCAAAGGCATTTGGAGCACTAATGCTTAATGAAGATAAAGGTGTCTGAATGTAACAAAAGAGACATTATTTGTAATACAAACATTAATGGCTATGGGCTAGGGAGATAGCTCAGCAGTCTAAGTGCCTGCCTGGCAAGCACAAGGACCCAGGTTCTACCACCAGTACCACATGCTGTGCTGGCTCGAGAACCCGTGCTAGCCACGAAAACTGGGCATGGTGGTGTACACCTGTAATCCTAGTGCCGGGGGGGGAGGCTGAGACAGGAGGATCACTATGAGTCTAAGCTGCATAGCAAGACCCTGTACTACATAAACCAATAAATAAATAATAAAAAGTTAATGGCTGATGTCAATGAACTTCAATTAAATATAACATCAATAATATTACTATACAATATTCCAACTTACTCTGGATCTAAGGTTTTCATGCCTAGGGGACCCAGCAATTTCTTTTCTGCAATCTCCAAAGCTTTCCATGCTTTTCCTGCAGTAAAGAGCTCAGGGGCCTAATAAATGTAAAAAACAAATATACCAACTTTTTAAAATCATGGAAGAATTAATTCTATCCACATAAATTAATCACAAACTTGGAAAAAAAAATGAAAACTAAAAAATACAGCCTGGGTAGAATTTGAGAGCAAATGCCTAATGAAATCTGAACCTGGAAGGCTGACTTGGAGGTTTGTGGCTGAGAAAGGGTATACAGGTGTTTTATTTCCTTATGCCACTTACAAAACATGTATTAGATCCCCAGAAAAGTTGCCACAGCTGTAGTAAGGGTAAAACTCATTTAAAACATTTCATCCATTCTTTAGAAGACTTAAAAGTATTTTCTGAAAGTACTTCTGAGTCTGGTTTTTTGTTTTTTTTTTATTTTTTGCCCTTTTTTTGCTTTGGAGGTCATAATAAAATACTACAGAAGAACTTGTATGTCAATAGCATGAATAGGGGGACCAGGGAGATGGCTCAGTGGAATAAGCATTTCCCTGGCAAGCACAGGGGCCTGAGTTCAATCCCTGGTTCCACAAAAAAATAAAATAAAAATGGAAATAAAAATTAAAAAAAAAATAGCATGAATAGTTACTTCTGGAGAAGGTGCGGAGTTGGCATCAATTGTAATGGTTACAGTTGGCATTGATTTTAATGGTTACATGAAATAAAATGCACACTGAGCCAAAGCTACTTTCCTGTGCCTCTGTGTTTTTCAATATACTATGATTTATAGTACTGTATTTATGTTTTTTTCTTTTTTTGCACGGGTGTTGCTTGGGATTAATCCCAGGGCACCATAACATGCCACGCTAGCCAGTGCTCTACCACTGAGCTATATTCCCATACGGCTAGTAATCTTTTGACAAAGTAAAAACACTAGATATGCATGGACTAATATAAATATTTGTTTATTTTACTGTTTTTATAGATTATGGTTAGGCTAAGTGGAGAATTCTTGGCTAAATGAACTAACTAAAGCAATACAACAAAGAACACAAAAGTGAACTTAAGCTCCTCCTGCAAATTCACTAGCTTGGAGCTTTGCACTTGGTACCCAGAGGCACCTGTGGTATGCAGCAGGGGGGTCAGAGATACAGATGTCCTCAGCTCTCTGGCAGTTGGGGTGGCAGTGGCCAACTGCAGCAATTAGATCTGGCATGAGCAGTCTAATCCATTTAGTCCAGCATGATGTACAAATGTCATTTTTTGCATAAACTATACTGTGAAAAAATATCAGGAAGCACTTCATTAGTCACCATTTTCTATTTCTTGATACTGAATGTTACATATTAAAGATAATATGTATACCTTATTAATTAGGGAAGATTATATTAAACTAATATATAACATATCTGTTATAGTTCATTTGAAAACAAGTAGGTAATAAAAAACTAAGTACAAATCTTATGAACTTTAAAAGTTAGAAATCACTTACCACAACCATTGCTATGGTAAAGTTAGGCCTGAGCTGGTAGTCACACCAAGGACTTGAAGCTCCATAACTATCTTTGTATATGCCCCGTTTGTGAACTAGATTTGGATGCTTCTCATTAGGATCTGATGGATTTTCTGAAACATGAAACAGCTTTTCAAAGTTGTCTTGTATTTTCCTGTTCCATTCATCATACGAGACTGCTACAACCTTCCCTGAAAAATGTTGAGATGGCAGTTTAGACATTCGAAGAAAATTAAAATCTAGTTACAGTCAAAGTCATGTGTAGTTTAGTTATTTTTATCTAAAGGAGTAAATACATTTTCTACTCTTTGAAAACGTGACTAGTTTGAATTGGGATGGCTATAAATGAAAAATAGTCACTGGATTTTGACTTAATCCCTTCCCAATGGAACGTTATACTGCTTACATGTTTAACAATATTTTGTATTAATAAATAAAATACTGAGTTAAATAATAAAATGTCTTATAATTAATTTCACTTGTTTCTTTTTGCTTTTTTGGGCTGGGGAGATAGCTCAGCAGTGTAAGCATTTGCCTGGCAAGTGCGAGGTCTTGCATTCAATCCCCGATAACAAAAGCAAATAAATAAAAAAGCTATGGAGAGTACTGAAATTTCATAAAGAAAAAGTCTTTTTACTTTTTTCAAATGTGAGGACTAGAAAAATTTAAATTATGAATGTCCCTCAAATATTTCCATTGGATAGTACTCTTCTAGAAAAACATGTAAAAATTTAAAATCATTTATGGAAAGAGTTGACCATAGGGCCATAGGGGCTGGTGAGGTGGCTCAGTGGTCTAAAGCACCTACTTAGAACAAGCTAAGCTAAGCAAAGCACAGGGACCACGGTTCAATCCCCCAGCACCACATGCCAGCCAGCCCCGCCCCCTGGTGGGCTGAGCTGGCCACACACACACACACACAGTAAATAAATAAACAAATAAAAAAATGTTTAAAAAAAAAAAGAGTTGAGCATAGTGGTGCACATCTATAATCCTAGTATGCAGCAAGATGAGGCAGGTGGGCTGCTGTGAGCTCAAGGCCAGCCTGGGCTACAAAGATAGTCAAGGCGAGGTGGAACCTCAAAGGAAACTTTAGCTCTTAAAAAAATAAAAAAAGAAAAATCATGGAAATTAAACTTGCTTATAGAAATATTGAGGAAACACAAGCACAATAAGGTAAGAGCTATGGCATTTTTCTTATCTCAGTACAGCATAAACAATATAGTTAGTAATCAGGTCTGTTACTATTTCCATGCTAGTAAATTATTTTTCTTTCCTCTTATAATTTAAGGGTTTCTAATATTAGTTGACTCAATCAAATGATAAGGGTAAGCATATAGAGAATACATTAGAAATTTCTTTGTTAAAAAAAAAAAAAAAAACAGCTTACCGTGCCTTTTTATTCTAACTTCATGATAAGGGAAAATATTTTTTTTTGATAATTCCAGCAACCAGCGAACAGCAGATTTACAAAGGCCTACAATTTCCACAGCAGACCCATCTCTAAAATGAAAAATAAATTTTATCCTATAAATTGGACTCATTTAAGCATTATTTTAAAAGCCATTTTAGCTGGGCTTGGTGGTGCATGCCTGTAACCCCAGAAGTGTAGGTGGCTGAGGCAGGAGGATTGGAAGCTGGATGCCAGTTAAAGCAATTTAGTGAAAACCAACCTTAAGACAAAAATATGCTGGGTATAGTACAGTGCAAAGGCCTTGTGTTCATTCCCCAGTACCCACCCCCCAACACACACTCAAGGGCACTGCACAATGAGTGTTACAACTACTGTATCACACAAACAACTACCTCCCAGAAAAATCTTTACTCTGCAGGGAACTGTAGTACACCTTATAAGCAGTCTCATTTATCACTGTCTTGCCATCATTTATTTTCCTAACATTTTTAGAAACTCATTTTATTTTATTTTTTTAATTTATTTTTTGCAGAACCGGAGATTGAACTCAGGCCCTTGAGCTTGCCAGAGAAGCACTTATTCTACTGAGCCCATCTCCTCAGCCCCATAGAAATTCATTTTAAAGGAAAATATAAAATCTAAATACGTGTCCCAAAAATCGTAGGCTTTAAAAAAAAATTTTTTAAAAAATATTTAGTACAGGGTCTACAGGGTCTCACTACACAGATCTGACTTGTAGTGATCCTCCTGTCTTCCAGCCTCTCAAGTGCTGGGATTACAGGCAGGCACCACCACGCCCAGTCTGAATGGATGTATCACTGCACCCCTGGAGCAGGGCCTGCACAGCAGCCTGGGATTGAACCCCTGGTCCCTGCATTTGCCTAAAAGCCAGGCTTTTAAAAGAATTTACAAAGAACGTAAAGATAACAACTTTTTCATTTATTGTGCTGTAGGTCAATCCCAAGGCCTCACACATGCTAGGCAAGCTCTGTACCACTGAGCTGTACTCCAACTCTGATACAATTATTAACTAGTTTTTGAACAGCGTTAAATGAAGATACAATTATGAATAAGAAAATAGCTTCTTAGCTTAATGCAGCAGCAGAAGCTATTCACTGACAGCTTCTGAAATCATAAAAAGAAAAACCCTTAAATAATAAATTCTGGGGTAAATCATAAAAGTTAGGGAGAAAAAGTTCAAGAAGTAAAAAGATTTTGTGAAAGACAGAACATTAGCCTGCAAAAGACAGATATAATGAAATGTTTACAATGAAGTGAGTTCAGTGTAAACATGTCCTAACGTTGGGATAACAAGTCACACTACTCTCCTTTAAGGGGCTTATAGAGACACAAACCATCACTTCCAAAAGAGAACAGAGAGCTCGGCCTGATGATTTATGCAGAGGCCTATGCATATTACAAAGAGAATAAATGGAAAAGGAAATGGAACTGTGACTGATTTAATACAAAGAATTCATGGTTAATAGAGTAAAAGATTCTACACATGTGAGTTTTCTTTAAAAAGGACGTGATAAACCAAAAGACTACAATTACACAACCACTATTAACACCAGCTACCTTGGAGTGGCTGGAATTCCTCTGTTTCTAGCTATGTCACTTTCTCCCATTTTATCCATCCACGTGCCACAATTAAAGCGATTTCCACCGTAAACAAATCCTGTTTCCTCATCAATCCCTGAAGTTATATTAAAACCTTAAAAAAAAGAACATTATTATTTTAATGAATGTTTTATAATAAACATATACTATATAGCATATAAAAGTAAGTATTTTATTTAAGACATTTATAAAAGTTTAAAAGGATACCATAAACCAGGACAACTACTCTGAAAATCAATTTGGTAACAATACAAGTTGAAGGTGTGCACATTCAGCCAAGGAATAATTTCATTTATCTTTACATATACTCTAGAGAAACTCTTATCTATGTGCACATGTAGATGTATATAAGAACATTCACTCTAACACTGTTTATAATAGGAAAACATAAACAATTGCTCAGTAGAGTGAATGAACGATGGTATCTATACACTGGGAAACTCATATCATTTAAAATTAAAAAATGATTTGCAAGAGTAAAAACTGATAGATTACCAGGACAAAATGGTGAACAAGTTGCAAAAGGATTTGTAGAACAAAGATTGTTTCTGTAAAATCCTTAAATAGAAGTACTTATATGTTTGTCTTTATGGCTATATCTAATATATTATCTGTATAGATTTAAAAAATACATGCATTATTTTATGCACAGTATATATTATGATAGCACACTGAGTAAATGCTGTATGATATATTACATATAACTTGTGTACACTGAAAAACATAAGAGCATAAAGCACATAAACAACATGCAAACAGCAAGCTGGGCTGGGTGCACAGGTGTGCGTCTGCAATCCCAGTATTTGTGGGGCAGAGGCATTCTCATGAGTTGGAAGCAGCTGGGACTACACAGTGAATTCAAGGCCATCTTGAACTACTAAGACCCTGTCACACACACACAAAAAAGCCTCCCATCCCCTAAAAAGAACTAAGCCTGATTATAGGATAGTCTTTATTTCTAGAAAAGAAAAAAAAGGAGAAATAAAGCTTTGGATATAGTTGATACAGCTCTTTTCAAAGTAACATGAAAATATGTGAAAAAACAGACAAATATTAATACCTATTTAATCTCAGTGGTAAGTTCAAAAATCAATTTTATATTACATCCTATAAGTTGAAATATTTCATAATTAAACACTAAAATAATTCAGAGATATCAGAGAAGTCTATAAATATAAATTTGACTTCTATTGACTTTCTTAGAATAAAAAGTATCAATGACTGTTACCAGATAACTTGGGTTAATATAATGTATGTTACCACTACAAATAATAAATGAATTTTAAAAAAATTTTTATTATTT